AAAGCGAAAATTACCGACAAGCACACGCAAATAAAATGTTATCAATAGCAACTTCAGGCATGGACGACCATGCACTGTTATTGAGTACGTAACCTTATAAATCCTTTCATGTCAATCGTTGCTGACACAAGCCATATATTATTGAAATGATAACTGGCACGCAGCTTTTACCTGTCCACATGTTGTTAAACTTACCTGCTGAAGAGGAGATTTAAAGTCCAGCATAGCTAGACAGATTTTGGAAAATCCTATTATGTATATGTAGAAATGAAATGCACGTGTACTCACTAGTTATGCGTGGATGCATTTAATTGGACCATTCACTGTCGATTCGGCACAGCACAACACATAAATACCACGATATATTTGTTTTCGCGTAAAGCATTACTTACGAATTTAAAGTAGCACGCGATCACGTATATGTTATACATGCTGAAAGGAACAAAAATCATTTTTCTATTCCCAGATGAGTACCGACATGTGATTCGCGAAATTGTATGCACGAGAAATAAATGTATTCTACTCTGTGCTAATATGAACATATTTAAAAGTTTGATTTTGTTTTATCAGTCAGCTTAATATTTATTTGATAATATAAAAATGGAACAACCATATCTAGTAATGATGTATACTTTTAGTTTTTATTATAAGAAGGTTTTTAAATAAAAAATAGTTTACTTCACACAGTAGGAATGAATTGGACTGGATTTGTTACAAACGCCTTTCCATGATAAACAGACGTATACAATAATGAGTGACATGAAAAAGACTAACGGATTTCAAATACGTTTTATAGTTACCGTAGGTTAAGAGTTAAGGTTGATGAAAAAAGGTAGGAAGATGATTGCAACACGTCTGGACAATTTTGATGAAGATTTGGGTCGATTGATATTAAAGTATTTGCTGACCATACCGGCAGAATAAATAAAGCAGACCAATACCAATAGCCTTGTCTTTTCGATTATCCATCACTTCCCTTCCCTTGTCTTTCGTTATTCTGGATGACTCTGGTCCTTCCATTTAGAAATTCCTGCCCTGCTTACCATAAGTAATGTTTTTCATTGTCATTGCCGTACGAATCGTCTCTTATTGACCTTTTTGTCTGGTGTGCCATACTGAGGACACAGATGAAAGTAACTATACTTAATGTACCTCTGGCAAAACATGGACTCAACATCATATCTTATCTATTTTTCCTTTGTTCTTGGTAGCCTGTTGTCGTAACAATTTGACTAGTTGGGAGGTGATCCGTTGTGATATTTAGTGCAGTAACTAGTTAAGGGGTCTTGAATTGGCAATCATCTGTAGAGCTGATTGTTAAATAGTATTCTAAGTTTAAATATAATGCATCATATTAAACAAAAATGAAGCAAGCCATACTTTGATATTTGTTTTTAAAAATACATTCATACAGTTTATACTAATATCACATTTAATATTGTATACCGGGTATTTTTTGCGGCTACATTATTTTCGCGCTTGTTGCAAGAGATTCAACACCGAATTGAATAACTCAACAAAATATTCCAGCACCAGACATTACTGTTATTTCTAGTTTGAGACAAAGACCAAGATGACCTGTTTGCAAGGTTTGATCACTGTTGTCTGGCAATTGACACATACATATCGTAAACGTAGTGAATCTATTCAGGTCACTTTTTTAGTTCAACCAATCAAACATATATATATCTGCATTGCGACAAGGTTATTACAGGTAACACATACAATGTACTGTTACTTGTCGAGCATGATTTTATATAATAGAAACGTGATCAATTTTACAACAAACATGAAACAAGTGTATTCAACTCTTCACTTTGTTGGCCCGGATGGAAACGCACCGGAGGTCTTAATGTGGGAGGAAAACCGGGGTACACGGAAAAAAAAACATGTGGTCGGGTAGGTGACCCGATACCTTTTCACATCCGGTTGGGGATTTCAAACTCCGGCCGTTTTTTATTAAAAGGCGAATGCGGTATCAACTGAGCCATCCGACCACCCGAATAACATTCTATTAACCAGTCCATACTTGAATATCAACAGGCGTACGTAGTATGAAGTTAACGAAGCCATGCAACAGATGATCTTAATCAGATTACGGAATATCAATTGCTGGGTGAAAACTCGAAAATAACATTGCGCGAATTCAAATCTGTATACAGTACCAATCTAACTAAACATACAGTCTATATACAATGTAATACGATGTATCTAACGCTACCTATCTGACTTAACATGAAATGTAGCAAGGCTCATATATAATGTGTATATATTAACTACAAGGTATCTGCATTTAAATGCAGAATTAATATTTTTGCATGAAAGATATTTATCTGTAGATAAAATCTAGCTATTAATCAATATACAAATCTGTAAATGGACACATGTGTTGATATAGACCTAAAGTCAGAGTAAACAATATCATAGGCATTAACAAAATAGTGTACACAAAACAACGTATTTAAGTATCGAGCTAGTCCAACCCCGTAACATCTGTATAAACTGGTATACAACTTAACCTTACTGTCACCGACAAGTGAAATAACGTTTATTTACTAAGTAATGACAAATAACAACAAAAGATTCTAACTCTACCATGTAATGGACCCACAATAATCAAAATTTGACATAAAACAATATAAAAACATCTCGGCAATAACTTTATATTTTCCTTTATATCTGAACTGGAGTGTTTTCCAAGCTGACCACGCCGTGTTTGTTCAATCCTTGAACTGGTTCGCATCCTAAGTAATCCGCTATTGATTTAGTGTCATACCGAGTGTAAACAGGAACAGTGGCCTCAGTCCACGTGGAAGCTGGTGAATGGCTGTCGATAGCGAGTCGTACTAAACCTAGGAATTAGCATTGTATGTTGAAGACAAGGTATTTTTGTTTCACGGACCGCCTGTAGTGTGACATATAATCGATACACAGATGGTGTGGTACCAAGGGCAGATAATCAGATTGTATTTTCGTCCCTATCATTCGGAATTCGACAAGGAAAAATCAATAAAATATGACATAACCACTTCTAATCTATGTAAAATCATATGTATAAGGGAAAAGTTCAAACTTACGTTTGCCAACATAATTGCTAACAAACGTCTGTGCTTTATATTTTTTGTGATGATTTTTGATTGCACATCTCGAAAAAGGCTTAATAATACGCCAGTGATGGGAACTTTAATTGCATCTGTCCTCCGATTTCCTCGATGCACTTTAATAAACCGGATCAAATAATCACTGTAAGTAAAATATTGATATATTGAATAAATGTTATTACACAAATCAGAGTGAACTAGCTCGTACATACTAACTCTTACTTAGGGCTTGAATCCCGCTTTTGTAGATTTCATGGGGTGATGAATTGAATTGGTCTTAAAACAAATTCAACATGAACTGCTTTACTAAATTTGTTTCAAGAAAAATTCAATTCGTCACCCAATGAAATCCTCCAAAGAAAGATTCAATCTTTATATTTCAATCAATATGTTTTTTTTTGGATAATTGGAACTTGTGAAAGTCCATTCTGATAGTTTGTCCCAGATTCTGGAGCTAAGTCTACGTATTGACGTAATGTAAGACAATATAGTCCGTCATTGATGGACCATTAACAAAATGATGTTGTACTCTGATAGTTCAATACAGCCAAATTATGAAGGAACAAAACACAAAAACATAGTCGAATGTCATGTTTAAGTTTTTGTTTATGAACTCATAAGTTGAAATATAAAAAATTCTGACGCGTATTCATACGCTCGCACTGACAGTGTTGATCTGGTCGATTTCATGGGCAAATGTCGTGTATAAAGACTCACTGCGGACACATTTATTCACATGTTCAAATTTACTCATCGAAGTTTTATGCTAAACTCGACCCAGTTCATGAATAAATCGCTCCAGTTTTACATCATTCTCGTCCAATAATAAGACAAAGTCATCCCAGTTTTAAAACAGTGTTAACTTAAGTTTTATGAAGATTAATTGGCTTTACGGGGAATGACAATGCAATAGATTTACATTAAAGTATGCATTGTATCTGATTCTTACCAGTTCCAATCAATCGCTGAACATTCGTAAGTCTTTACTATTTCAAAGAGTTTAATTATCAGGATTTTCTTGATAGATGCTTCCTATTGGCCTGATCAATAATGACTGAGACCGTTTTTCCACTTGAGAAGATACAATCTACTTTAAGGAAACGTTACGGTTTTAACCTCATTCTTCCTAAGATGTTTCTGTTTTCCATGATTAAAGACTTGTATGCCGTGTCTTAGATCATCAATGACCTACATACTTTCCTGGATCTTATGGGAGACATCATAATTTGGTGCTCAGAACAATTACCGCTCTACAGCACCTGATTTTGCGTCGATTCATTTGTATTGATGTTAAAAAGGTCTCTCCTGTTGTTTCCGTTTCTTCCAAGTATCATTTTATATTTTTTAATCCGCTCATGTGTATTTTGTATACATTATTTTTGTTTTAAGGAAATTCAATTGTTGAAAAAAAGGTTTATAGCACCATGATCTCATTTCCAAGTTTGTTTACTAACTTCAATGTATGAAGGTTTTTAATTTCTTACATCTCATTCATTAGAACAATTAAACTGAATGTCACTGGGTTTTTTTTCAGGTTTTTATCTACAATTAAGATTAACTTAATATGCAGATGAGACTCGTTGATCCAGCCACCTTTTCTTTCCAGCAAAATGGACTTGATAATGAGATAAAGAGATCATCAACCCTTTTGGCTGTCTATAAACACTAACTATACAGGTCACTAAGTAAAGGCTCGGTGATTCAGTCGGCTTCTTAGTTCCCAACAAATGTGTCTTAATACTGTGTTTGAAACTACAGTAATATTTTGAATAAAAAAGGCGACTCTGCCCCCTAATTCAATTAGGGCAACTGGATAAGAGGTTGCTAGGTTAACGAGGTATACTTGTATTTCTTTCCTCGGTATCATTGAATGTTAATATATCTGTTTTCATTTTGCAGAAAAGACATCCATTTAAGACGGCTGGTTAGATCACTCCACAGTCTAGAGAAGGATCGACAGCTGATTGAGGACTCGAAAAGTGATGCTGATAAAAAGACAGTGTCCTCCAAAGTACCATGGCTTCAAAAAGACTTCAACAAGTTCTTGCCAAACATATATCTGAGAAAATCCACGAAGCCGACAATACGAGATTCTGCAATAGTGTTTCTTCAGCAGGAATTTGCCTCTGCGGATAAACTACTCCATACGTGTTTGTCAAATATATCGTATGACAAAGACCTACCCATGTCACCGGTGATGCATGTGCAAAATCGATTATTGTGGAACGCGGGAACGAAAGATTCCTTGGCATTCAAGGAACGGATAAAAGTGCACCGTGGTCCTTATTCTTTTGGTGCCTGTGATAAAATCAATGTTAAATGTGCCCATTTCATCATGGTACATGATCCATTTGAGTTAGCAATGTCAAGTTATGAATTTTGTAAAGCAGATCCATATCATGAAAAGTGTACAGCGTTTCAATCAAAATCTGTTTCCCTAAGGGAATGGATACTTCTTCAAAAAGGTGCCTTATTTTACCAGTTACTGTTTTCGCCAGAAATGTGTTCACAAGACAAATCAAGACAATTAAAATATCTCCAAAAATCACAATTGAATTCCACCATCCATGATCAAGATCAAAGGAATCCTTGTTGGTACAGACAGAAACTGTTGTTAGGTCAAGCGTTAAGTGATACAGATATCGGTCATATTACGGACTTCATTGTCAATCACCTCTCCGATTGGTTCGCCGTGATTGGCCTCGGTGCTGATGTAGATAGCAGTTTAGAAATGTTTGAAAAAGCTTTTGAACTTCCTTTCACCAAGTGCCTTAAAAGTGACAGCGGCAATGATTTAAACAACAATAATAGTTATAACAGAGCCAGTCACACTGAATCAGAGGAAGATGAACCTTCTGATGACTATGATGACGATGACACCTTAGACTTAAGAGACGACTTTCGTATACAGGAAGCAATGCTACCAGATCTGAAAATTTATAAGGAAGCCAGGCGACTGTTTCATATTCAGCAACAAATCCTTTTAAACAAAGTATAATAGACATTATGTATTTGTAGGTTTGTTTACATTTGTTAAATAAATATGACATACAATAATTTGCATAAACGTTTGTATAAAACATTTACAGTAAAATCTAAATTAGTTAAAAACCACTTATGCGGTGAGTGGAAAAACTACATAAACATAAAAAAGACGAACAGTCCAACTTTGGTTTTGTTAAAATATATCTGCATTAAATGCATTTAGCGCCTGGTATAATTAACAAAATTGATCTAAGACGCCTTAACTGAGGTTTTGTTTGTAAAGTATTTAAAATAACACAGATCAAATTTCGTTTAAAAGTTTTGATAACAAGATCTAATAAAAAAAAAAAAGGAAACCATTAACTCATGTATGAATAATGATTCTCTTAATTAATACAGTTTGTCGGGAAATGTCAACATTGCTGGTTAATTAACAGTCGCCATTTTACTTAATAACGCAACTGTGAACTATAAAATGTAATATTACTGTATCTGATTGCATTGCCTATTTTACATGCCATGTTGTAGGCGGACAGATACGGACAGTGCCGTATGTAAGCTGAATGACGGATGTAACAGTGTGAATGATGAAAATATGTAGGGAGGGGTAAACGATTGGAGAAAATGCTTTATATTTATAGTGAAGGAATACATGATGTGTGTGATTAAATAAAAACATGATCCAGTATTAAATGCTGTTATTTGTTTATGTTTCAAGGAGACGTTCGTAAAAACATTATATTTCGAGCCCGAAAAATAGGCGACTATAATCAACCACGATAATTCATGGCCGTTTTTATATACAACTAAATAGCAATTTTAACGTTCACGGTGTTCTGCGAATTCATTGCCCTTCTCATAAAAGCTAACAAAATTGACTATTAAAGGTGTTCCACGCAGTTGAACCTCACGAATGTATTACCATTCTTTTCAGAGCAAAATACAAGCTATGACTATAGCTTATTGACAGTGTTGGGCGAAATTAAACCTTAGGATTATGTTCAAAGATTTAAACCTCGATTTTTTTTACAGAATAAAACAAATAAACAGTGCTGCCGATCACTTTGCTAATTCTCATTTTCGCAATTGTGTTTGTTATGCCATTTATAAGGTTCTGCATATCTTTTGTGATGATTCCCATGCAAGAATTTTCATTTTGCGCTTTACCATCTGGAAGTGTTGACTCACATTAAAAAATTCGACTAAGACCAGACGAGTAATCTCCCCTATCCTTTATATATTTGGAGAACTTATAGAAAATAGTGAGTTTTGGTTGTTTCCAATCCCATTTTAACTATTTAAAACAAGCCATTCGGATTGATATGTCTCGCCTATGCCCCGCCTTGACCATCAATGCACATATCAGAGAAGCTAACTTAAACGCAAAAACTTTATGTAGATGGAGATGCTGACAAAGTCACTGCACCATGAAAGGTAGGCCGCATCCAGCATTTGATGCATCGGTTAAGATGTACTTTCTAAGACGCATCTATGGTCCAAGTTTGGTTGGTCTAGCACTTATACGTTCAGTGAAACAAACTCAAACGTAAACACCTAATGTTGACGCCGACGTCGCCGCAAAAGCAACACCCCAGTCTCGCTTCCACTTCGTAACGGCGAGACAATGAGTAGTCGAATGAAAAACGGCAAAACGAAAATGTGTAGCTAAAATATTATTTATTTCTCAATCATGATAGGACAGACAAATTATGGAAACAATTACAAACTGAATACAAACTGATACGTTCAACAAACCTAGATCAACTCTCAACTTAATTGAATATAAAGTATTCACAGATCACAGCACATTCGAATCCCAAACATAAAACAGGACCAATGAGATATGGAGCTTGTACAAATTAGCGGGTCATAGTAGACTATGACATACTTTATAATATAATAAGACGTATCATACCATATAATATGGTACGACAATGGCATACTATATAATATAGTAAGACATATCATTATATATGATATAAGTAAGACATATCATACTATATAATATGGTAAGGCAATGGCATACTATATAATATAGTAAGACATATCATTATATATGATGTAAGTTAGATATATCATACTATATAATATGGTAAGGCAATGGCATACTAAATAATATAGTAAGACATATCATTATATATGATATAAGTAAGACATATCATACTATATAATATGGTAAGGCAATGGCATACTGTATAATATAGTAAGACATATCATTATATATGATGTAAGTTAGACATATCATACTATATAATATGGTAAGGCAATGGCATACTATATAATATAGTAAGACATATCATTACATATGATGTAAGTTAAACATATCATACTATATAATATGGTAAGACAATGGCATACTTTATGATATAGTAAGACATATAATACTCTATAGTAAGACATATCATACTAGATAATATGCTAGAGTTATAACAAGAGGGGACAAATATCAATGTCGGGTTGATCCAAGATATTTTTTCCTTTCTTCAAGACGACAGGGACGTTCAATCGCCTTGTCTTTATGATACATTTGACAGACGTTTGAGTTTGAGAATAGAATACAGCACCCAGTATATATTATAATTCCTCGACGTGCTCATGCCCCATTTGTCCGGACCTCTGTGTTCCTATCGAAAACATACAACGAGAAGTATCGCAGTAATTAGGTACTGGGTAATGATGAGTGCACTTTCGGTAATGGATGGCACTTTAATATATCACAAAGAAATAATTGTTTAGCCATTGTCCAAATATAGATAATTCAGGATGTCTTAATTTGAGGTAATTTTGAACGATTTGACGATTTGAAGATTGCATTTCAAAATACAATTTTTTAAATGGAAAAACATTCGTTCGAATAAATATTAAATTCTTCCAATTAAGATATTTTTCATCAAATATCTAAATATTAATTTGACACTTTGGTGATAGATAACCAATCAATATATCACAGCTGTTAAGACAAGTTTCTAAAATGATTAACTACACTATGCTCACTATGCTAGATTTTTTTTTTTATATAAGTCATGTCACAATGCGAAGCGGATATTTGTTAAATGTTAATATCTACATATGCGTTTCCAATTTGTTGAGCATATGCAAATCATAAACAAAATCGTCCTTAACAAAAGAAGTTGGTTAAATATGCCGTATATGAACATAATATTAGTTAGATATGCCTTCAATAATTATATCGTGCAACAATTAATTGATTAACTATGTCATCGCGTTCTACATAAAAATGGTTAAATACACAACATGTCCATTAGTATACATTTTAATACACTCGTAGTCACGAGTTTTATTGTCATGATTGTATCCGATATGGTAAATTATAGCCATTTGTAATTTCAAAAGATTTAATAATGTCAATACAGAAGATCCATTTCTACAAAATATGAATGTAATTAGAACGGCAGTCACATTACAGTATGTATCCAAAGGACACACAATTATAAACGTAAGTGAACCTCTCTGGAATATTAATAGAAATAATTCACAAATTATCCTTTAATTAGTCAGATTATTTTCTCTAATGTATTTTTGTAAGAGTGTTAATTGACCAGAAAGGTCTGTGAACGAAACTTTACATTCAGATATCATATATCATTGTTTGAGGAAAAAGACTACTACTGTTACAAAAAACGAAACATTCATGATTGTAGAAAAATTACACAGCAGAACAAGACCTACTTTACAAAATAATCAATCACAATAACACGATTTTCAAAAGGCTCAATATCATATATAGCACATGGTTTTTTTTTTGAATAAATGTGATTAAACCGTATCAGAGATAAGTGACGAATCATGATCCTGGTATCTATCCAATTCCAATAAAGTGACTTATTCTCTTCGAGTTTCAGATCATATTTCAAACACATGATCAAACTTCCGACTGGAAGAAAATCTAAAGTAAAGACACGTTGCGCAAGGTTATTTCACACTGTGAAATTGAGAAAAAAAGAGCAAGTAATGGGATTGGTGAAATCTATAGCAGTCATACGATAAATATGTATACATGTATAAAAATGTGTTAAGAAAAGAAAGATCAACTGATTAGTACACATACATATAAATATGTAATAGCCCTGAATATTCATGTAACATAATTAAAATAGGAAAGATCAATACCTGCCAAGCTAAGTCGGACTTTTTATTATTCCCTGATAAATAGCATAAAAAAATGTATCAAAGGATATGAAAACAAAAAATTGCGACGCCCTCACATAACAATGACCCTCACATATGTTTTGACAGCTGAGTGTCGTCCCAGTGTTTGTATCACAATGGAATAGGATTTCTAATTGTTTTCGGCATTTTTTTTACTTGGAGTACTTTGCGCATATACAGAAGCAAAGAATACTACACACTGTAACAAAAAATATATTAACGGTAATTTCTTTTTTGACTTAAAACATTTGGCTCCACTAAACCCTTAACTGGCTCGCAACATACAAATTTGCTGTATGATCATTGAGGAAACTAGTAACTAACTTCATACAGAATGTAGCAAGGAACACTGATGATCGCCAACCAGAGACTGTCGGTTAATTAACCTGGTTGGTAAATTATACGATTTGTTTATACCAGCACTATCCGCGTCATTAAATACTACTGCACAATTTCTTATCTCTAAGACCTCTGCAATTACGCTTAACAAGATACAACACCCTTTTTATTTAGAATAATTTAAATTGTTTTTAAGTTTGCTTAATTTACCTCGTTTGGGTTTTGTATGTATAAGTTTAGGTCACATTAAACATTAACCACAAACGACGAGACGTTTTAAGTTACGGTTAAGTTACAAGTTAGGTTACAAGTCACTTGTAGTGATTAATACAAGTTGAAATAACTTGTTTCGTAATTGTTGTAAAATAAATAAAGTTCATATTTATATCCCAGTCACTTTGGTTGTTAGATAGTCATAAAAAATAGTGTTTAAATTATCTAAATTACTCGAGGAAAACCATGACATAATGATCAAACTGGAATGAACAGATTTGTTTTACCCCTATAACACTATTTTGTTGCTTCGGGTAAACAAACACTTGTTTCTGCAACCAGCCATCTGTAAATTAAACATATATAACATTTTGTTTGAATACAAGTACAAACTTCCAGTAAGATGATAACTTAGGTATCAAGCGCCTCGACGTTTCATCCCCCTTCTTCACAAATTCTTATATGTCTCACCCGATATATCGGCAACCCCTTTATAGCGCCAAATTGCGCTTGACAAGTAGTGGCAGCATATAGTCTTTACTGAACCATTTATATCATGATCAATACATCAGGATCTACTCTTTTATTTGTTTAAAAAAATAACAGGGGAAAGCAGTTAAATCAACGTAATAAATAGCCTTAAAACATTTAACAAAATACCTGATTTCATCTATCACAAGATTGAAAATAATTGATATGATATTAACACAACAGATTATTCAAAACATAACTGGCAGGTGTTCAAAGTAACAGCAAACACAACGCATGGTTAAAACGCTTTACAGGATAACAGTAACATGTTTAACATAACGTTTCAATTTTCTAAATGCTGGGATAGTTTATACCATAAAACATGTCGTAGTTGTCATGATTTTCATACAAAAAAATATATAAATTCTATTGGGAAAATAAATTCTACAGAGAAAAATAAAGATTAGGTTTTTTTACAAAATTGTAACGATCGTCCAATAAAAATATTTGTTGAACGTCTACATGAATTAAACACAAACAAAACAGGTTACAATTATTTCAGCTATTACATATCATTTCAAATCTTTGTAGTATATCACTATATGAAAAAGAATCACTTTAGTGTGTTTTGAAGTTCCCTCTTTAGAATAGAAATCCGGTGTGTAGTTAGTCGTCATATCGCATTAACTACAGAGAAAAGAAGTTTAAAAAAAGTGTACTAAGTCATCAGATTGCATTAACTACAGAGAAATGAAATTTAAAAAAGTGAAAATTAAAGTAGTCATATTTATCATAAGCACATTTTCTTATCTAGATGCAATGCTCAGAACATGTTTTTTTGTTTTTAACAATTTTCTGAGTTGTGTTGAAACAACGGATATGTTCAACATTTTATTATTCCGAGGCCCTCACTAGCACCCCTTCCTGCCTGTAGAGCGTGGGATTAGGAGAGATCAATCACAAATATTGTATTTAAATAACATTAGCAACCGAAATACATATAGAAGGCAATATTTTACTGTAAAACGTTGCCATAAACCAGTCATTACTTTCCAACATGGCCGTCGCTATTCAAAATTATTTTTCTCTTTTTATAGGTAACGTCACATTACCCAAACATATCAATAACTCTCCATATATGTTACTTAAATCTCCACAGAAATATGGCAGAACCATCTCTTCTTTCTCAAGAGAATTGCGTATACATTTGATACCTCTTAATTCGTTTTCTGAAAATTACTGTTCGATTTATAAGGTATTGTGTGATGATTTCAATCAATATATCGTCAAAACCCACTTTATAATACTCGCAATAACTAATGGTTATATATAGTTAAACTATATTTCATTATACATACCTTCCTAAGCTAACCGATGCATTAAGGAGAGGGCTTGCATATAGGATATGCCTGTTGTGTTACTCCGTTTGTACTTAACACATATACGATAGACTATTCTGAATTGAAGCAGATACACATGTTTTATATCAAATTGCGATGTCCTATAGGTTACCTGTATATAATGATGAGAATTATTGTGTATGAGTTATGTATAGGTTACTATGAGCAAATAACAGGGTAAAAATAATACATTGGTCAACAGTTATACATATAATAACCAGCTCATTGGAACTTTGCAAGTCTAGACTAAATACTTTTCCCTCTATTTGACTTTTGCTAAATCAGTGCTTAAAGCTGCATGTGCAATTATACTGATATATCATGGTATGTGTACTGTAGCGACATGACAAAGAATACGAAAATTTCCAACCCCAAAAATTAGTCAAAACTCTCAATCTCAGCTCAATTACAGTTTCAAAGGTGAAATCATGACCATTTTTTTTGAAGAAAATTTCCAACATTGTTCGTAAAGACTTTTCAGGACAAAATTTCAACACATATGCCAGCATTTTTCAAAACTTTCTTTCGATTTCCTGTCTGAACTACATGTATTAAAAAAAGATTCAGGATTTTCTGTTTTCAGTGTACAGACAATAATGTATACTATTAAATAAAAGTGAATCAAAGCAGATTTAAATCTGATTGATGAACTCTTTTATGATCTGAACAAGAAACTTTGCAAGTCATTCATCAACAATAATTCAAATAATCCTTCGTAGAAAAGCAAACATTTTCCCAAATTATGACTTTTTCTTTACAATTTTACCAATGGAAAAGTACTTGAACCACAATACAGTTGATATTTTACCGTTTTGGCACTTTTTCATTATATCTTAAGTATGACATCATGTTGTGTATTTTCAAATAATATAATATTTATGTGATGTTGGCTTGGTTTGAGATTAACATATGAACCTTTAATACTATTCAAAGGATTTCCACATCAACTACAGCATTAGAATGAATAGTTTAAGATATGTGTTCAGCTTCTACAAAAACAATCAGAACTGTCAACCCATTGTGGCAACCATTCTTTTTTCATTTTGAATGACAATTTCGAATAATGCTTAAAAATCGTCATTTTAAAATAAGTCATCTCTGCTTGTCACTTTGAAGTAAATCAGGTCATACAATGGTAACAAATCTCACTGACAACAATGGAAGACAAAAATTACAACTGGCTCTCAATCTCTTATGATATTTTCCTGTTTAAGTACTGACTTGAGCAAGTCTACAGGATTTTATGATCGCCTGCTCGAGTCCAGAGGTCAGAAAATCATCCTAATAAAGACTGAAAGTTAGGCTTACAGAAATGCTATTAACAAGACTTTGGGCAAGATACAATTAATCACATCTATTCAAGTACTGATCTCATGTTTCAACTGTTCCAAGAACTAGGTATCACAGCTATAGTTGGAGACAATCTGAAGAAATCATGATGATTAATTCTCTACAAACAGAAAACCAATTTGACATACTTTCCTTTAAGGACGAAACTTTCACTCTTAATCTGAGACTAGTTCAAGGTTATAGCTATAAGATGAAGGTTGAATATAAAAAAACCCACCTCAAACAGTCAAAATTTAGCAGCATTGGAAGCAAAACAAGATCTAAATTATTTTTGTCGACAATGGTTGAAAAACACAATTACACAATTTATCTACAACTGCTGTGCTACTGTCATGTAAGGAATTCATGATATCAACCAATCTATCTCTACCACCGCCACAATGTAATTAGTTATACAATAAAGAGACAATATTTCCCTGACAGTTATCATCAGATCATGAAATGGATTTCAACAGGATGATTTGAAAAGTGTTTGATTTATCACAATAAATTCCACAATATTTACATGGATACTATCTCCACGGTTGGAATTGATTCTACTGTTCATAAGATATATTGTTTACACTTTTCCACTTCGATTTTTTTCAACCGATGTCACTCCAAAATGTCGTCACCCTGAAGTTAAAAATACCTGATACATGTACTTGGAATGTAGTACAGCATAGCTAGGCCATACTTATAATTCCATTTCTACTCAAGCTGAACATTATGAAACTACTAAAGGTAAACTGTTTCGATTGTCATGGAGTTAAGATGGTTACCATTGTTAACGAGACCGTTGTCACTCATTGGAAAATAACATCATAATATATCTGTACAGCGATTCCCATCTTCTTCTAGCAGTACTTTAAATAACTCTCAAGGTGATATATTGATATATTGTAATGGTCTTAACCCACGTCCCACTCATTATTATTAACGACATCTGGGCCCGTATTCATTAAAGCGTTCTCATGCTCAAAGTCATATCTTTTGCACAAACCTAATTTCTTATTCCAGTGAAAACTTAACGAACAATTACAAACTGTCAATGATGTGGAAGAGTTTGGGAGAGTCTTAGGGCTGAGTACTATTTTTAAATGTTTAAATTCGACTTTATGTCCGTGTGACATGATGTCAACCCAGCAGTAAGAAAGAAGGTTGAGCACAGAAGCCATGCCTGAGCACTAGAACGGTTTCATGAATACGGGCCCTGTTTCAAGGCCAACTCATGACGATCAATTCACTATGTAATGAACTTGAATGCCTGTCTACCATGTTGCTGTTCATAAGATTTATATAAATGCCAATTTAGTAAAATGCTGTAACTTGGACTATGGGAGGAAACATTTTTTCATACCCTGGCAAGAAATTGTCTCAGAAACATGCAATCATATGATGATAAATTATGCCTATATGATATTCATTTTGTAGCCCCTCCCCCCTCCCCTCAACCACCCAAAGTGTTCATTATAAACATTGTTTCCTATGTATATGTTTGATAAAACTTCTCTTATTCTATATTATGTACTTAGGTAAGATCAAATCATGATAAGGTCTAGCTCTAAAGAATGTGATTTTCGTTTCGATTCCATTTTTTGACAGGATTTCCCCAGACTAGTCTTAGGTATTTAATTTTGTTTCCTTAGCTTACAGATTGTGAATAAAATATTATTAACCTGATTTTTCTATTTTTACATTATTGTTTTACACCAACCAAGTCATCCCATACAAATACAAAGCTTATAAATATTGCATTTAAAGAAAGAGAAAAACTCTATGACTTGTTAAAAGACATATACTGCCAGCAATAATAGCATTATACTGAGAAATTTACTTTTGGTGAACTTTATCTATGAAGCATGCTCTTTATCTATGAAGCATGCTCTTTATCTATGAAGCATGCTCTAAGAGAAATATTGAATATTGAAATTCAATTCAGGTTGATCAACTTTTTCCTGGGACGACTCGTGTAGTAAAATAGTGTAAGAATCATGAAAAACAACTTGATATTTAAATCACAATCTAATAAATCAGAAACAAAATTAAGTGGCATAGACTTTGGTATTATACTTGATATTTAGTTCCAAACATATCTTTAGGTTGCAATATGAATTGTAGAAAGGTTATATATCACAACCAGTAAGTGTTTTTCAGTGACCTTTCCATGACCAGTACAGTACATTCCATGTCACCATCATCAGACAAATGACCAGCGAAGCGAATGTATACAAAGGTCTGAACTATATACAAGTTGGCAATAGCAATTCAACGTTGATACATAACCTTTCTACCATATCTTTTCCACTTTTACTAAGGTACTGACGACTGATCACATACGTCAGTATCAATCAGAGGAGAAATGTGATTGGAATGTGTACTTTTATTGGAGTGGCTGGACGGACGGTACAGCTGTGTCTTCTTACCGCACAAAACTCAAATATTTTTCTCTCTCCCAATCGGTGGATTCAGTTTACAAATCTGAAACAAAATGAACACAGTGCACATCAGATGCCATTGATAAATCTGGTACGAATTGTACATTGTCTTTGATTGGTTCTTACACAGTCACATGACCTCGAGAAAATAATGGTATCTTGCGTTTGAATTATCAAACATCTGAGACCTACGGACATCATCAACCTCACTGTTGTTTTGTACGACCAGTTTGGGTTAACAAACCTTCATATCACACCACCACTGTGGCCATAAATATGTGCATTTTGAACAAAAGCATTTTTAGGATTGCAAACAGAGACAAGATCGAGGCCCATGGGCCTAAACGGTCACCCGAGTCCTACAGTATTTATTTTTGTTGTTGAAATATGAAATGGAGATAATGGTGTCAAACATCCCAACCAATTTGAGTAAAAAGTAATTAAGTATATATACAGCAAACAATTATCGACAAAATTGTAGACACTATTCCGTAGCTTTATTTTGAATGAAATAACAACACGTGTCTGAATGTTGTAATGGAGGTGTTTTCATTTGCTCTCCTCCGGGATGAGCGTAAAACGTTAAGTTAAGTTTGTCAGGACCATGAGTTGATCATTCCTAGCCGAGTTTCAGTTAAATCGGCCTATTAGAACTTGATTTCAAGATTGAAACAGATTTTTTTTAAATGGCGGCTGTGGCAGCAATATTGGATTTTTGATAGGCCCAGAAAAAAACAAAGAAAAAAAACTTGCCAGGACCATGAGTCAATCATTCCTACCAAGTTTCAGTTCAATCGGCCCAGTAGAACTTGACTTTACCTTTTATTTTTTTTCTCTTCAAAATAGCGGTTGTGGCGACCATATTAGATTTCTGATCGACCCAAAAAATAACAACACTTCATCAGGACCATGAGTCGATCATTCCTACAAAGTTTCAGTTAAATCAGTACCAAATATAAATTGATTGGACAATGATGCACAATTCTCTCATCTATCAGCCAGAAGAACTATCAGAGGTATATCTATTCTGATAAGAGCCTTTGGTCAGCCAGGGCAGGAGAAAGATATCATGAGGATTTTATAATGTAGGAAAAATCAAACCAGGAAGGCCAGCATCATACTCAATAGACTGATCCACCAATAGGACAATGTCCATCAATCCTTACCTCTAGTACATTTACACGTCCAGTTTACGATATGACCCCACAAGACACTCCATAGCGTCAGCTTTGGAAGACTTAGAGGCTTTGGCTGTAGCATCCATTAGGCCGTATTTTGCCTCTTGGTCAAACTGCTCATCACATGCCAACAATTTCTCTGCCCAGTCCTAGGGAAACACCAAATGATATTAGTTTTTCAGTTATAAGGGGAAAAACCAAATGATATTAGTTATATCAGTTATAAGGGGGAACACCAAATGATATTAGTTATATCAGTTATAAGGGGGAAATGTTGGTTTTACAATGTTCAGTCTAACCTTGTTAATCTGTAAACCCATATCCCGCACATCTGAACACCCATTCCAGAAATTTTTCCACAACAAAATTTGTACATGTTTATTCAATAATTTGTATTCTGTTCAGTCTTCTAAGGAATGAATATCACATTTCTGATCAAAAATAAGAAACATCTAAGGAAGTGTAAACTATTTTTGTAGCAATACTGAAATTCTAGATTGTCTTAATAGACTCGAAAATGTTGGTTGTACAAGCAATAAAAGTTTTCACACTATTTTTTTTACCTAAGGTCGCATCTGACAATTGCAACATGTTAATACAGTTGCTCCAATCTTTTGTTCTATCTGATAAACAAGATTAACCCATTCACCCCTAAAATTTCATAATGAACTATTCCAACCTTTGATTTGGAAGAGTTCAAATGTGCCTTCAGGGGTGAATGAGTTAATGTGATTCAGTTTTACATGCAGTCTGATTCTGTCTGGCACAAATTGATATCCTATTAATGTTAACACTAATATAGAATTTCACATTATACTATCATATCACCTTGACCTTTGACCATAAATATCACTTAAGTTATGTCATACAAACAAAACCATTGGACATAATCCCGAGTTATATAATCCGCTATCGCTTTAATATAAATATTCATTTTTTTTCTTATTTCAAAAACAGATATTTGACACTCAATTTGATACAAACAATTATTGTTATTGATTATGTAAGGAGGCATTATTATCAGGTTCATGTAGATATTCTGATAGAAAAATCTGGTATTCCTGGTGCGATTAGATTTCTAAATCTTATACCTTGTTCAGTTATAGGGACATGTAAAGACTAAGGTCAATTAAAGCATTAACATGTTATTATTTTTTTTTACCTTATTTGAAAATGGTGGTAGCGGTCCTCCATATTCCTTTGGAAGGATGGCCTCGCCTACGAACTCCTTTAGGCCCTCTGGTTTGTCACCGTGGAAATGTAGCTGTGAAGGAAAGTGCATAATGCAATCATTTAGAGAGGAGTGAATGGTACAGTGATTACTCCTTGATTTGGTAAGATGTGTCAAAACAGGTTTATCTCCCTCCAATTATTGTGTCAATGAGTGGAGTTATTTCCCCTATTGTCAGAAAGCCAACATGTGACTTATTTCCCCTTTGATTCAGATGGGACAGCCAACATGTGACTAATTTCCTCTTTGATTAAGGTTGGAGAGCCAACATGTGACTTATTTCCCCTTTGATTAAGGTTGGAGAGCCAACTTGTGACTTATATCCCCTTTACAGAAGTTGTCATGAAAGCATAATTATATCCCCTTGATTATTATGTATATGACAGCCAACAAAAGGCTATCTCAACAGACTGAGGTTTGAGTGCTAACATGGGTATTCTCCCCTTGAATCATGTCCAACGTTTATAAATCTTCTAATCATACATTTGGACAAGTTAAAAGTTTTGTATGAGAAATTAGATGGAGGATCTTGAATAGGAATTAAGAGGGAGTTTCAGGTTCCTGCAAATTTTCTTTTGTGTATAAAGTAGAACCTTGTTAGTCTGGACATGTACCCAATAGGTTTGTGTTTACAGTAGAACCTTGTGTCTGGACATGAACCGAATATAGAATTGTGTGTACAGTAGAACCTTGTTAGTGTGGACGTGTACCGAATAGGTTTGTGTTTACAGTAGAACCTTGTTAGTCTGGACATGTACCCAATAGGTTTGTGTTTACAGTAGAACCTTGTTAGTCTGGACATGTACCCAATAGGTTTGTGTTTACAGTAGAACCTTGTTAGTCTGGACATGTACCCAATAGGTTTGTGTTTACAGTAGAACCTTGTTAGTCTGGACATGTACCCAATAGGTTTGTGTTTACAGTAGAACCTTGTTAGTCTGGACATGTACCCAATAGGTTTGTGTTTACAGTAGAACCTTGTTAGTCTGGACATGTACCCAATAGGTTTGTGTTTACAGTAGAACCTTGTTAGTCTGGACATGTACCCAATAGGTTTGTGTTTACAGTAGAACCTTGTTAGTCTGGACATGTACCCAATAGGTTTGTGTTTACAGTAGAACCTTGTTAGTCTGGACATGTACCCAATAGGTTTGTGTTTACAGTAGAACCTTGTTAGTCTGGACATGTACCCAATAGGTTTGTGTTTACAGTAGAACCTTGTTAGTCTGGACATGTACCCAATAGGTTTGTGTTTACAGTAGAACCTTGTTAGTCTGGACATGTACCCAATAGGTTTGTGTTTACAGTAGAACCTTGTTAGTCTGGACATGTACCCAATAGGTTTGTGTTTACAGTAGAACCTTGTTAGTCTGGACATGTACCCAATAGGTTTGTGTTTACAGTAGAACCTTGTTAGTCTGGACATGTACCCAATAGGTTTGTGTTTACAGTAGAACCTTGTTAGTCTGGACATGTACCCAATAGGTTTGTGTTTACAGTAGAACCTTGTTAGTCTGGACATGTACCCAATAGGTTTGTGTTTACAGTAGAACCTTGTTAGTCTGGACATGTACCCAATAGGTTTGTGTTTACAGTAGAACCTTGTTAGTCTGGACATGTACCCAATAGGTTTGTGTTTACAGTAGAACCTTGTTAGTCTGGACATGTACCCAATAGGTTTGTGTTTACAGTAGAACCTTGTTAGTCTGGACATGTACCCAATAGGTTTGTGTTTACAGTAGAACCTTGTTAGTCTGGACATGTACCCAATAGGTTTGTGTTTACAGTAGAACCTTGTTAGTCTGGACATGTACCCAATAGGTTTGTGTTTACAGTAGAACCTTGTTAGTCTGGACATGTACCCAATAGGTTTGTGTTTACAGTAGAACCTTGTTAGTCTGGACATGTACCCAATAGGTTTGTGTTTACAGTAGAACCTTGTTAGTCTGGACATGTACCCAATAGGTTTGTGTTTACAGTAGAACCTTGTTAGTCTGGACATGTACCCAATAGGTTTGTGTTTACAGTAGAACCTTGTTAGTCTGGACATGTACCCAATAGGTTTGTGTTTACAGTAGAACCTTGTTAGTCTGGACATGTACCCAATAGGTTTGTGTTTACAGTAGAACCTTGTTAGTCTGGACATGTACCCAATAGGTTTGTGTTTACAGTAGAACCTTGTTAGTCTGGACATGTACCCAATAGGTTTGTGTTTACAGTAGAACCTTGTTAGTCTGGACATGTACCCAATAGGTTTGTGTTTACAGTAGAACCTTGTTAGTCTGGACATGTACCCAATAGGTTTGTGTTTACAGTAGAACCTTGTTAGTCTGGACATGTACCCAATAGGTTTGTGTTTACAGTAGAACCTTGTTAGTCTGGACATGTACCCAATAGGTTTGTGTTTACAGTAGAACCTTGTTAGTCTGGACATGTACCCAATAGGTTTGTGTTTACAGTAGAACCTTGTTAGTCTGGACATGTACCCAATAGGTTTGTGTTTACAGTAGAACCTTGTTAGTCTGGACATGTACCCAATAGGTTTGTGTTTACAGTAGAACCTTGTTAGTCTGGACATGTACCCAATAGGTTTGTGTTTACAGTAGAACCTTGTTAGTCTGGACATGTACCCAATAGGTTTGTGTTTACAGTAGAACCTTGTTAGTCTGGACATGTACCCAATAGGTTTGTGTTTACAGTAGAACCTTGTTAGTCTGGACATGTACCCAATAGGTTTGTGTTTACAGTAGAACCTTGTTAGTCTGGACATGTACCCAATAGGTTTGTGTTTACAGTAGAACCTTGTTAGTCTGGACATGTACCCAATAGGTTTGTGTTTACAGTAGAACCTTGTTAGTCTGGACATGTACCCAATAGGTTTGTGTTTACAGTAGAACCTTGTTAGTCTGGACATGTACCCAATAGGTTTGTGTTTACAGTAGAACCTTGTTAGTCTGGACATGTACCCAATAGGTTTGTGTTTACAGTAGAACCTTGTTAGTCTGGACATGTACCCAATAGGTTTGTGTTTACAGTAGAACCTTGTTAGTCTGGACATGTACCCAATAGGTTTGTGTTTACAGTAGAACCTTGTTAGTCTGGACATGTACCCAATAGGTTTGTGTTTACAGTAGAACCTTGTTAGTCTGGACATGTACCCAATAGGTTTGTGTTTACAGTAGAACCTTGTTAGTCTGGACATGTACCCAATAGGTTTGTGTTTACAGTAGAACCTTGTTAGTCTGGACATGTACCCAATAGGTTTGTGTTTACAGTAGAACCTTGTTAGTCTGGACATGTACCCAATAGGTTTGTGTTTACAGTAGAACCTTGTTAGTCTGGACATGTACCCAATAGGTTTGTGTTTACAGTAGAACCTTGTTAGTCTGGACATGTACCCAATAGGTTTGTGTTTACAGTAGAACCTTGTTAGTCTGGACATGTACCCAATAGGTTTGTGTTTACAGTAGAACCTTGTTAGTCTGGACATGTACCCAATAGGTTTGTGTTTACAGTAGAACCTTGTTAGTCTGGACATGTACCCAATAGGTTTGTGTTTACAGTAGAACCTTGTTAGTCTGGACATGTACCCAATAGGTTTGTGTTTACAGTAGAACCTTGTTAGTCTGGACATGTACCCAATAGGTTTGTGTTTACAGTAGAACCTTGTTAGTCTGGACATGTACCCAATAGGTTTGTGTTTACAGTAGAACCTTGTTAGTCTGGACATGTACCCAATAGGTTTGTGTTTACAGTAGAACCTTGTTAGTCTGGACATGTACCCAATAGGTTTGTGTTTACAGTAGAACCTTGTTAGTCTGGACATGTACCCAATAGGTTTGTGTTTACAGTAGAACCTTGTTAGTCTGGACATGTACCCAATAGGTTTGTGTTTACAGTAGAACCTTGTTAGTCTGGACATGTACCCAATAGGTTTGTGTTTACAGTAGAACCTTGTTAGTCTGGACATGTACCCAATAGGTTTGTGTTTACAGTAGAACCTTGTTAGTCTGGACATGTACCCAATAGGTTTGTGTTTACAGTAGAACCTTGTTAGTCTGGACATGTACCCAATAGGTTTGTGTTTACAGTAGAACCTTGTTAGTCTGGACATGTACCCAATAGGTTTGTGTTTACAGTAGAACCTTGTTAGTCTGGACATGTACCCAATAGGTTTGTGTTTACAGTAGAACCTTGTTAGTCTGGACATGTACCCAATAGGTTTGTGTTTACAGTAGAACCTTGTTAGTCTGGACATGTACCCAATAGGTTTGTGTTTACAGTAGAACCTTGTTAGTCTGGACATGTACCCAATAGGTTTGTGTTTACAGTAGAACCTTGTTAGTCTGGACATGTACCCAATAGGTTTGTGTTTACAGTAGAACCTTGTTAGTCTGGACATGTACCCAATAGGTTTGTGTTTACAGTAGAACCTTGTTAGTCTGGACATGTACCCAATAGGTTTGTGTTTACAGTAGAACCTTGTTAGTCTGGACATGTACCCAATAGGTTTGTGTTTACAGTAGAACCTTGTTAGTCTGGACATGTACCCAATAGGTTTGTGTTTACAGTAGAACCTTGTTAGTCTGGACATGTACCCAATAGGTTTGTGTTTACAGTAGAACCTTGTTAGTCTGGACATGTACCCAATAGGTTTGTGTTTACAGTAGAACCTTGTTAGTCTGGACATGTACCCAATAGGTTTGTGTTTACAGTAGAACCTTGTTAGTCTGGACATGTACCCAATAGGTTTGTGTTTACAGTAGAACCTTGTTAGTCTGGACATGTACCCAATAGGTTTGTGTTTACAGTAGAACCTTGTTAGTCTGGACATGTACCCAATAGGTTTGTGTTTACAGTAGAACCTTGTTAGTCTGGACATGTACCCAATAGGTTTGTGTTTACAGTAGAACCTTGTTAGTCTGGACATGTACCCAATAGGTTTGTGTTTACAGTAGAACCTTGTTAGTCTGGACATGTACCCAATAGGTTTGTGTTTACAGTAGAACCTTGTTAGTCTGGACATGTACCCAATAGGTTTGTGTTTACAGTAGAACCTTGTTAGTCTGGACATGTACCCAATAGGTTTGTGTTTACAGTAGAACCTTGTTAGTCTGGACATGTACCCAATAGGTTTGTGTTTACAGTAGAACCTTGTTAGTCTGGACATGTACCCAATAGGTTTGTGTTTACAGTAGAACCTTGTTAGTCTGGACATGTACCCAATAGGTTTGTGTTTACAGTAGAACCTTGTTAGTCTGGACATGTACCCAATAGGTTTGTGTTTACAGTAGAACCTTGTTAGTCTGGACATGTACCCAATAGGTTTGTGTTTACAGTAGAACCTTGTTAGTCTGGACATGTACCCAATAGGTTTGTGTTTACAGTAGAACCTTGTTAGTCTGGACATGTACCCAATAGGTTTGTGTTTACAGTAGAACCTTGTTAGTCTGGACATGTACCCAATAGGTTTGTGTTTACAGTAGAACCTTGTTAGTCTGGACATGTACCCAATAGGTTTGTGTTTACAGTAGAACCTTGTTAGTCTGGACATGTACCCAATAGGTTTGTGTTTACAGTAGAACCTTGTTAGTCTGGACATGTACCCAATAGGTTTGTGTTTACAGTAGAACCTTGTTAGTCTGGACATGTACCCAATAGGTTTGTGTTTACAGTAGAACCTTGTTAGTCTGGACATGTACCCAATAGGTTTGTGTTTACAGTAGAACCTTGTTAGTCTGGACATGTACCCAATAGGTTTGTGTTTACAGTAGAACCTTGTTAGTCTGGACATGTACCCAATAGGTTTGTGTTTACAGTAGAACCTTGTTAGTCTGGACATGTACCCAATAGGTTTGTGTTTACAGTAGAACCTTGTTAGTCTGGACATGTACCCAATAGGTTTGTGTTTACAGTAGAACCTTGTTAGTCTGGACATGTACCCAATAGGTTTGTGTTTACAGTAGAACCTTGTTAGTCTGGACATGTACCCAATAGGTTTGTGTTTACAGTAGAACCTTGTTAGTCTGGACATGTACCCAATAGGTTTGTGTTTACAGTAGAACCTTGTTAGTCTGGACATGTACCCAATAGGTTTGTGTTTACAGTAGAACCTTGTTAGTCTGGACATGTACCCAATAGGTTTGTGTTTACAGTAGAACCTTGTTAGTCTGGACATGTACCCAATAGGTTTGTGTTTACAGTAGAACCTTGTTAGTCTGGACATGTACCCAATAGGTTTGTGTTTACAGTAGAACCTTGTTAGTCTGGACATGTACCCAATAGGTTTGTGTTTACAGTAGAACCTTGTTAGTCTGGACATGTACCCAATAGGTTTGTGTTTACAGTAGAACCTTGTTAGTCTGGACATGTACCCAATAGGTTTGTGTTTACAGTAGAACCTTGTTAGTCTGGACATGTACCCAATAGGTTTGTGTTTACAGTAGAACCTTGTTAGTCTGGACATGTACCCAATAGGTTTGTGTTTACAGTAGAACCTTGTTAGTCTGGACATGTACCCAATAGGTTTGTGTTTACAGTAGAACCTTGTTAGTCTGGACACTTCGATTGAAAAATACACAAATTAATCAGCACAAAGAGTGCTTGAAAACTTTAAATAAAATGTTGGGTTTCAAATTACGGATTAGTAAGATAGAGTATTTTTGTGATTTGCTGAATGAAATCAAAATAATGATATCATTATATGATATTTTTTGTGAAATCTACCAGTTAATTCTGTTTGATAACATGGTTGATATTTCATCCAGAACAGAGAAATATTGAGAGGGGTCACTTATACAGTACAACCATGGTGCTACTCAGATGGACGTGTTTAATTATCTCCCCTGTTATCGAGTCTTGGTTACCTTAATACTTACCCTACTGACTGTCTTCTCTTTCAAAAACTGTTTGACGATGGCGAAGACATAGTCAAAGAAGACTGGCTCGTGTAGGTAGTGTAGGCCCTTAAACCTAGCAGGGAAGGCATCCTGTAAAACACCAGGCCTTTCAATGGACAAATCATTAAGGTAATAGGATTGTGTCGCCATTTCTCAGTAGAATTTCTTCAAATTTTGTAGTTATAATGCTTTAGAGTAAAGAAAATTTTCTGCCATCAAAAAAATATAGGTTGTCAGAATTGTAAGGATTTTAAATGGAAATTTATGTAAAAAGGAGTGCATTTTGAAAAAAATGAAACACAATTTTTTGAAAAATAATGTCAATAAAAATGATACTGACATAGACTAGTATTGCATTAATGTATATCAATTTCATAAATGATGAAATTGTGTAAAATTAATTATCTATAAACGATTAAAAATTGACATTTTATAATAAAACCATATACACATAGTAATTGCATGAAAGAGTTATCGTTCTTGAAAAACTTCACAGTAGTGAAATAGGTAGCCGGTTTCCTGAAGTACAGAAAAATGGACACATGTGACTCATTGATTAAAAAACAACTGAATTAATGCCTGGATTGCGTTGAAATACTTTAATATTGAAAGAACACACTGTTCTGTCAATAATAAACATACAATATTCATCAGTTTAATATTAAACATTAGAATATGCGGAAATTGTGATTCTGTCTTCCTACATTGGATTTTCAACTAGGGATGTACTTCCTATTTCCGTTTAGCAATACACTCCTGTGACTTTAACAGATGGGCCAAGACAAGAAATACAATTATTTCAAGACACTGTTAGGTCTGGCAGGTCAACCAGAGTAAATAAGTATGTATAGAGATTTAACAAAACATAAAATATTTACTCCAAGAGCATCAGGCAAATATGGCCCCGACACTTCGATACTATCACTCAGAATCACAGGAGTAGCCATGGATGGCTGCTGAAGTCAGAGTGACATCTGACATTAATTATTTGGTGGACATTTTGTAGTTTGATCATCTGATTGGTCAGCAACTACTATTGCCTGTCTTTTAAAGTGGTTGTGTTTCTCAAGAATGTATATATTAGAATCGTAGTAATTAACTTACATTGAATTTCAAATGAAAATCTTTTGTAATGTTTAAGAAATTTGAAAACACAACAGACTAGGGCTCTTTCATACAATAGCATCACCTCTGGGTTCAACCAACCTTGTATGTTGCCTTTAACTCGTTCACCCCTGAAATTTCATAATGAACTATTCCAACCATTGAATTAGAAGAGTTCAAATGCGTCTTCAGGGGTGAATGAGTTAAAGAAAGTCAACAACTGTACATTACATTTAGCACTGTACAACAAAAGAAGCTTTATGACAGAAAATATCTTCTTTATAACTCAATTACCTGAAGTAAACTGGAGATACGCTTGGCATAAAATGGAGAGACATTTTTTGCATGACTCCAACTAAGATCCTTTAAATCAATCACCATGACGATACCATTCACCTGGGTTTCTTCCTCCTTTCAAACAAAATCAACAAAATAAAATTAAACAAATATTGGCCCTTTAGAGTCTTACTGTATAACTTGGCTGTCCTAGATATGAAGTCTGAGATTTGAAAATGAATTAGTTCTTTTTAAAGTAGCAACAGGTGTGTATTATAAGGGATCATATATTAAAATTGACTGTGTGTACATTTTTTGTTTATAAAATAGCTGACCTGTCCTTGATATTAAACTTTGTATTCGAAATCTGTTCTTTCTATGACATTTACCTCTATAAGTTTGGATAAGGTCAAGAAGTTGGTCCGGAATATGTCATCTAATCCATAGCGTGCCACATCCCATTTACCTGTAAACATAAAGGTTAGTTAAGTTCGCTCATTATAAACTATTTGGTTGGTTCAGATTTTTGTTTGAACTTTTAGACTTAAGATAAAGGGTATTCCAAAAGTGGTGAAAAACACTTTTTTTTTTAATACAGGTCTTCTTTAGAGAAGATTAAGCAACAAATGTATTTCTAACAGGGGACCAAGGGTGGCTGTATAGTTAAGATGTCGGACCATCTACAATCACTAGCTCTCCACTAGCTGCGATAATGTAGCTTTCTGATGACGAGAGATTTTTTTTATAAATATTGCTTTGTCAGAGGAAGCCTAGTGGGTATTAATATTAGTACTAGCTCTCCACCACTGGGTAGTAGGGACCATCTACATGTACAATCACTACTAGCCCTCCACCACTGGGTAGTAGGGACCATCTACATGTACAATCACTAGCTCTCCACCACTGGGTAGCAGGGACCATCTACATGTACAATCACTACTAGCCCTCCACCACTGGGTAGCAGGGACCATCTACATGTACAATCACTAGCCCTCCACCACTGGGTAGCAGGGACCATCTACATGTACAATCACTAGCCCTCCACCACTGGGTAGCAGGGACCATCTACTTGTACAATCACTAGCCCCCCACCACTGGGTAGCACGTTCTAGGCCATTTTACTGGCCGCAGGTCCGTGTTTCTTCTCCGTTTACTCCAGTTTTCCTCCACCACCAAAACCTATCATGTCCTTAAATAACCATAGCTATTTAATTATGGGATATAAAACACAAACAAACCAAACCAAATATTTCTAACATAGAGTTACTTCCCTTGTAAAAAATTGACGTTCTGCAATCATAGATCTTGAATAACAGCATCGGTAAAGGGTCTGATTGCTAGTAGATTGGTCCTGATCATGAGTTCAACCTCTGGTTTTCTGTTTACTTTCAACTTTTACTTTTAAAATTTTAAAACTCCTTGTAATTCTGTGAACTGCATCACAAGATGTGTTTGGAATACAGTTACATTTCTGAAGAAAATGACCGACACAAATATTTCATAGTAATGTCAAAGGGAAATGTTTACCGGTACCGTACCCTAATCAATGTAAATCAGGATATGACATGCAGCCCTATATTACGAACATCATACTGTTCAAGGGGTTGATTGAATACAGTCTTTAGCATTTCAATGTATTCATATATATGTATTTACCTTTATGTACAGATGTATATATATATATGTAAAAGATGTGCATTGATTAGGTTGCCTTACAAGCATCAGCAGTAGGGAATTTCCCTTTAGCTCACAGCGGATGCCGGTATAGTATCTGGCTGAAAAGCCAAGGGTCCCTGGTTTGAGCCCCAGCGATGACACTATCTTTATCAGTATTCTTGCCTTACTTCATAAATATATCAACTATTACTGACTAAACGAAACATTGTATTTGAAACATAAAATTTCTCCAATTGTACTGAAGGAGTAGAATTTTAAAGATTTACCTAAATTTTACCTGTTTGGCCCTGCTCTTCTGCCCCCAGTGGGGAGAAGGGCACACCCTCCATTTATACAAAATTGAATTCCCTTTACCCAAGAATACTCCAGGCTTAATTTAGACAAAATCTAATAAACCGTCCAGGACTAGTAGCCTTCTAAAGGAAAAGTTGGCAGACAGATGGACCACAGACAGACAGTCAACGAACGCCACGCCACGGCATAAGCTCTTTTGCCCTTCAGGCAGGTGAGCTAAAAAATGTTGTTCATGAACGAGCACTATATATGTGAAGTAGTCTACACGACTTACTGGGAATTAATACAAAATAATTTTACTCAATGTATAAAAGTACATATTTATCCAAGACACTGAGTAAGTATTATTCAAAATTATCTGGCTTAACAGGCAAATTAGGATACAATTACTTGTATAAAGAACTTTGTATACCTAGATTTAAGCAGATGATTGAGTGCACTTTAATTTCTTTTCCTAAGTAAAATGTGTATTCCCTGATAGACCATGCCAAAAGTAAAGAACTGAGAAAAATCCTTCAATAAACCTATCTGATCATTTTGCACACATTCATGTAATCAACTTTTAAAAGCATTTTTCATTTATTAAGAGATCAAGGAAAATTTAGTTTGAAAGACAGAAGAGAAAGAAATGTATACATTTATATAGACTGTCATTTTATAAAACTAACCTGGTCGGAATATAACAACCCGACGGCCTTCTTTGTCGCGACTGGCAAGCACTCCAGTCACTCCATCATCTAGCACATGTTTGACAGCTGAGGGCCGTAGATTGGTAAATATTTCTTTGTTTTCTATTTTCATTTTGTAATGCGTCATAATTAACTGAAAGGCACGTTCATAGTCAAACTTTTTGGCACGTAGGAATCGCAGCAGAAAGGCATCGTCAGTTCGAATTTTCAAATCTGAAATTCATTGAAGAAAAAAAATTGTAAACAGAGAGTGACAAAATTGCAATATGATTATGAGGGGGAAATGGTGTTCATGGTGATTATTAATGTTGAGCAAAAAACTTTCAGAACCACATCTGGGGCAGTGGGGCCTCACAACAAAACCTTTGCTGAAAATTCTTCTGCACCTCAAATGGTACCCTATTAACACATTCATTTGTTAACCTATAATTCAGACTTTGTATATGTCTTCAAATAAATTTCCACAATTTACCTTCTTAAGCTTCACGAGAGACTGAATGAAAGTTGAGAAACTATGATCCCACATAAGTTTTAATTTGTCAGGCTTCTTCACTATTTTCTGGCAAAATAATGGTTTTATTTCTAATTCATCACACCAGTTCATACAGGTGGTGGTATATTATATTACATGAGATGAAAATCTGAGACTTGATAGATTTTTTTTTTAAATCCAATATTTGCAATAAATCATTGTGGCTATGAGAAACCCTGCAGTGGTTAAAGTTGACATATACATACATTGTACTGTACATGTATATATATATATACAGTAGGTTTCTCCCACTGCCTGTGGTTCTTATTTGTTTGACAACCTTTCTTAGTTTCTGCATCCATAATAATTGTCCGAGCACAGGTATTACTATAATCAGCTTGTCTGTCAATACACCTATAATATAATCTATAACAGATTATATAACAGGTTTATTGACAGACGAGGCTAGTACCTACATATGCCTGAGTACATCTTTGGACCGCATACATTTGTATGGTTCCAATATTCAAATTTCCTAGACCACATGTGGTACCCATATATATATACCAACCTCTTTGTTTGAGAACCATCTCCCTGAGGGCCTGAATATCCCTGCTTCGCCATTGAGCTTTTTCGTTGAGTTCCTTCTCAGCCTTGGCTATTAGTTCTGGAGACAGGGTACAGACATAATCAGACTGAGAGTCTGTCATGATTGATGATCTTAATGACGTGGCTCTAAAAAAAATAGAAGAAAAAATAAGTTAATACAGTGTGTTTAGTGAAGTTGAACTGGCCATTCAATTATTAAATCAGCGAGGAATTGAAAATCTCCCCACTAAACAAATATGATATGCCCTTCGATGATATCCAAGCACAGGTGAAATTATTTGTCGAATTTTCCGAATGGCCTGGGTTTTTTTATGTCGGGAAAGATTTGCCTATCTTTAAGTGACTTTTAGTGTACATAGGTTAAGTTATAGCCTCCGGCTAAATCTAAATTAAGACATACAATATTTTGACACGCCCGACCTATTGCTACTTGATTAATCAAGCAAAACGACTTGTTTCACTTTAAAAACTATGTAAACAGGTAAAGTGACTTTACCTGTCTCCGCCAACCTTTTAACCAAAGTTGTCCTCGAAGTCTACAATGATCGTCCTGCAATTGCCACAAATTGTCTGTCGTCAAGTTAATAGCTTCCGTTAGATAAATATATAAAGCGTAAAAAAAGTTTTTAAGAAACTAGTATTCTAGAAACTAACACACATTTAATTGTGATTATATTCTGCTCGCGTTTTATGACAGGTGCGTTCGACAGGCAACCTTTACCGGTGCGTGCCCAATTCTCACGTTCCGCCGGAACTGAACAGTTTAAAAAAGTATCTATCTGTGATATTTTGAAAGCATCATAAAAATGATGTTTATTCAGGTAAAAAGCATTTCATTTACACAAGTGGTACAAACATACAAACAAACACAAGACATACAATGTTATAGAATATATTATATCACAGTAAGTATCCAAATGAAACAGCTGGCCTTTTTACCTCGGATAACCCATAGAAGTGAAATATAACTTATTCACAATGGGGTCCATAAAAGAGCACGTCCGCTCCGGTTGAGACAGGTATTTCGTAATAAATGTTGGCACATATATATCTAGGTTATCACAGATAGTTTCCATTAACAATAATGAATACTCCAGTAAAAAATACAAATTGCTTCTAGTAGAACTAGTAGAACATGATCCAAAGGAAGGCGGGATTTACTCCTGTAAATGAAGTTTTGATATGTTCTGATGATGCTGAATGTGGTCCAATCATACTGAACACCCGACAGAGCCGCCCATTTGCATCATGGTTTGCGAGAAAGAGTTACTAATTCAAATCGAAATAATTTTAGCGGCCATTGTAACAATATGATCCCTGCCAGAAAGAGTCGTTCACAACAGCATTGTGGTATTTGGAGGTTTCGATCTGGGTTAGTTATCGAAGAGACGTATATACATTACGTCTCTGGTTATTGGAAAAGTGTAACTAAATGGCTCCTGGAATGAGTGACTGAAGAAATAACAAAATTACCTACAGATATAAAACAGTACACGTTATTAGGGTTGCACCTGTTGTCCAAGGCTAGATTAGGGTAATTCCCAGAGATACATGCTTAGGGACGTCCGATCTTATAACAGTATGTACAATGTACGTTCAATTTGACCGACAAATAGTAATTGAGGAACAACAGACTGTAAGGGTAGCTAAATATAATTATATATAGGTATATTGTTTAACGGTATTTACGTCTCTGTATATGTGTACATATGTTAAATATATGGCAATTTCGTATAAATAGAAGAAGCAAGTTAGTAACTTAACCCAAATCAAAACGACCGGCAACAGGATAGAACGGCTCACAGACATTTACACATGAAGTAATAACATACCCGATGAAAAAAACAAGAGCGAGAGCGAGAGGGAAGTCATACATAACGTGTACTTGAGTTGAACTGAAGTTGAACTGTATCAGCATTCGTCGTTAATTCTTGTGTTACACCATTTAGTCCTACATTGTATGATAAAACCGAGGAAAGTCACCGTCTTAAAAGCTTTTTTATTTTCTGAACCGGATACTTTGCTATAACAATCATGAAAACAAATAATTTATTTATTCATTCGCGATCGTGTTGCAACACCCCATATAAATCAATCAATACACATTTCAGAGTATTATGAGGTTATTACAAACTATTATGAGGCTATTACAAAGCATTATGAGGTTATTACAAAGTATTATGAGGTTATTACAAAGTATTATGAGGTTATCGCTACTTAATTTATTTTAACTTAATGTATTTTCGATGATACAATCTTTTGATTGACCTAAAATTACAGTAAATTATGATGATAGAATTTACCCAAAAGCTGTACCAGAGCGCTTGTAGATTGGCTCTACTAGTGTGTTGCCAGTATCATAACTCTAGCCCTCGAAACACTAGAACTGTTGCTCTAATGATTGCATATTTCGGTTATAACATGCTGTTGAATTTGCGAGATTAGTCGAGTCACTGCTATGTAAAAACGATGTTCTTACCCAGACAGTTTCGCTGACATTATGCCAGCTTGGTCACTGGGTAAGAACATCGTTTTTACAAATGTACATTACATTCCTGTTAAATGAACCCTTTCAGTGATAAACTATATGACCACACCAAGGTGGTGTGTCGCTTACTAAATACGATGTCGTGTTCCGCTATAAACCGAGTTAACGCCCTTTTATTAACTATGATACAAACATTTACCCGGGACGTAACGTTCCACTACCATCACACACTAACTGTACATGTACTTTTATGATAGTTGAGATCCTCCAATTCTATAGCTGAGCATGGCCACTGGTCAGACTCTCAGGTGCCCTGGCGTCTTTTGAAAGTACAAATTGTAGTATATCTATCATCCCATCGACTCTATTCCTTGTTAATGCGTGATCACCAATGTCAGTATAACTTTATAGCACTAAAATAAGATTCCATACAGCTTTACGATTAATCACGGATTTGAACAGATCTAGACGACAAAGTAAATATTGGCGACAAAGAGGAATTAAACGCAAGATAGCTTTTTGAAACACGGGATGCTAAAATAGCTACTTAGAAAATGAAGACTAGGTATGACACGCATTGGTCTCTTAAGAGAGTCGTTGCATAGACAACTTAGCGGTAAATTACTCTGTGAAACATATTCAAGATTCCCCCCCCTGATAATAGTCATTGGGATACACTTGATCCAAGTTGAATGTTTATTCGTCGAAGCAGAAAATCATGATTTCCTTTTTTCTTTCATTGTTGGTCACGTTTACATTGTAGGTCGAAACAAGTCCGATACAAGATACTAGAAACTTTACTTAAAGTCGCATACATAAACAAAGAACATTATTGTGACAGACATATGTAAAATAAAGCGTGCAAAATAAAAATAAAATATACATTTTTTTTTATCCAAGTGCGGATACTTCTTCGATTTTTTAACATAATAATACAGTCGTGTAGCAAATAAATAAGATATATTGATTCACTGTAGATTTTTAATATTTTTTGTAATCAAATGCCTACTTGGTATTACTGACAGGATTCGAAAAACAATGTAGAAAGATACCTGTTAATGGGATAACCGCGGTTGTATGGGTATTTTAGTAAATACAGAATGTTTCAGTACTTTTTTGAATTTAAAAAAACGCAGAAGAATCTTTAAATATAAATTCAACAACATAAAACACAAAAATTAAACTAAACGAAATGCCAAAATTGTTCACATCAACATATCTGGACTGGTTCCCTCTGTAATTAGTTCGCCGACTCCAACGATCGCTTGCGAGAGAGGGAACCTGTCTACCAAACACCGAAACGGCGTACATTGACTGGATCGAACGCACCCCAGGGTACCGGAAGTTATCCAATCCTTGATAACATTTCTTATTATTTCCGATAAAATTAACTAAAACAAATAATTAAATGATATTCAAACTCATTTTTTGGGTGAATTTTGTAAAAGTTGCAATAAGTTAAACAGCAATTATTATCAACTTCGCACTGTAGTAAATAATAATTATATTCCTATGTGGACTATCAGGTTTGTCATCACTTGGATGAATCAAAGATGATGAAGGGTACCGATCGAACCGATGCAGTTTTGGTTCAGGTTTCTTGATTTTGCATTTTTTATTTGGTTTTATTATTTACTTTTCAACGCTTTCTCATTTATCAATGTGTTCGATGTGTAATCCATGTACTATAAGATGTCGGCTGCTGATGCTGGACGTATTATATTATCATGTGAATCTCCAGTCTGCTCTGTCGATCTTTTTATTTTATTATCATACAAACATATATCTTTAAGAATCATTTGGGTTAAGGAAATTCTTTTCATTATTTCATCTTTGTGATTCTTTATTCCATCTTTTAAGGTTCAACAAGCCCCCTAAAAGATGACGTAGTCAACTAAAATTCCAACCCCCTGGTAAGTCATGTTCAAAGACCTCAATTACAAATCGGAACTCACATATGTTATTTGTATATATATTGAACTTGTACATTGGCCATACAAAAATACATTGCCAGATTAACGTACTCAAAAAAAGGCATTAAGGCTGATGTCTTCATAAAAAAACCTCACTGCATGGACTCCCCTTAATACATGTCAATTTCTTTTGCAACCCAACTGAGTGCTGAAAAATGACCCATAATCTAAAGTTTGTTTATATACCTAGGTCATGCGGAGCTTTATTTCTCTTCTACTAGCTGTTGAGAGGAATTCCGACCACAAATAAAGATAGATACTATGCGAAACCACTAAAATCATAATAAAATCTCCTGGTAATACATTTTAGCAAATTTTAAATAAGAAAAAATGGCTTAGTAACCTTGATCGATAAATGAACTTTAAATAATGTGCCATTTGATAACATTATGTGATAACATAGTTAAAGAGACATAAAGCCCTGCATGACCTAGGTATATAAATGATCTTCAAATAACATGTCATTTCGTAACATTCAGTTGGGTCGCTTAGGCGATTGACATGTTATAAATCTGGTGAGCAACTTTTATCATTACATCAGCCTTAATGCCGTATTTTTGACTTCGTTGAAATGGTTATATACCTTTTTAATAGCTCATGTACAAGTTCAATGTATTTAAATTACATATATTTTTTCTGATTTGTGATAAGGGTATTTAAATATGACTTGCCATGAGTTTGAAATTGAGGGTAACTATATAATTACCTCTTTTAGGGGGCTTTTTGAACCTTAATCTTTTTGTATATTTCATTTTGACGATATTTGCTTTGACTACGTGTATGTATATAATTATTATCAAAATAACCTTTGTTTAAAGTAGATTAACGTTTAATTTAGGGTCTTGTGTGTTTTAGGATCAGATGTTTTGTTGAAGGAGTGAGAAATGAGGTGAAACTAGACTGGCTTGATTGTCTATCTACCTCAGTTAAACTTAAAGTAAAGTCCTCAAGTTTTGAGGCCCTCGTTCAAATTCCAGTCTTTTCTTTGCATTGCAGTCTTTCTCTTTAGTTACATATTGCAATAAATTCATCGAATTCTACCATATATGAAGTAAGATGTAGAAAATTATGTTTATTATGAAAAACAGAAAAATGAAGGTAAAAGAGTACATATACTGTATATGAACATACATGTATTTAATGATTTGATAGATTTCACTCAAATTCACAGCTTCCTTAAGCTTTAAGCTAGCTGTATATATAGTTAAACCAAAATTCAGTGACAAAAGTAGATATTGAAGTACGCCTGCTCCTGGTCATGCCAATTCACAACACCTCCAGGAGAAGAGGGCACACGTGATAAGGGGCTACTTTTAATGTTTCCGGTTTAAGTGATATTATTGTGACAGGAACTTTGATATAGAGACCAATTGCATAAAGAGACCACTTTTTGGACTTCCCAAATTTAAAGGAATATCGGAACAGGCATCTAGCTACCTGTACACATGGTATGCAGGTGAATCCAGCAAACTTTCAAAAAATTGTATAACTACAACTACTGTTTGTGGGGGGGTTTGTGGTGTACTGATGAATGTGTCGTCACAAATTAGGTGTGCTGATATTATATATAAAATGTAATTAAAACCATGATTTTATTGTAAAATGTCTCAATTTTGCAATCACTTCTTGCGATTTACCCATTGGAAAATTATCCTCAGACAGATAAATCTTAAAAGTATAATGTTCAATTTTCCACCGGGTGAGCCCGAAGGAGGGAAATTCATTTTCAGGTTTCTGCGCCTTTGTCTCTAGATCTCTACCGGGTACCAGGGCCATCCCCCTGGACCTGCTCCTAAATAAATCCACTTCAAGCAAGGACTAGCTATATATATGTGCCCCTGCATAATACAGGTTTGACTTTATTACTGACTGATTGTAGTTATTGTTTTAATTGATTGGTACCAGGTAAAATCTTTTACTTTGATTCATTATTATCTTTAACATTTTTAAGGGGAGATGGAAAATTCAACAGGGCCAGACCAAAATTCCATACCAGGACCTCCCGACCCTATAGCTCGCACCTGTTGAGCTGTTCCGTCTTTGCATATTGCAGAGTTATCTTCTCTTGGGAGCAGGTATTGATTGTTACGTCACTTGTTTGGGAGAGTAACGTCATCAATTTTTGAGAAAACGATGTAATTTTCTCGCACAAATCAATGACGTAACAATCAATACCTGTTCCCAAGAGAAGATAACTCTGCAATACGCAAAGACGGAATATGTCAGGTCAATGGTGGTAACCCAGGAAAACCACATATTTCCCTTGGAAATACGTATACAGTTGTAGTTGTGTCTGTTTCCGATAGCGGAAACAATTGCCATGAATTATGACGTCACAACAAAAGATGACAATTGCCATGATTTATGACGTCACAAGGAAAGATGACAATTGCCATGAATTATGACGTCACAACGAAAGATGACAATTGCCATGAATTATGACGTCACATTCAAAGATGACAATTGCCATGAATTATGACGTCACAACGAAAGATGACAATTGCCATGAATTATGGCGTCACAACAAAAGATGACAATTGCCATGAATTATGACGTCACAACGAAAGATGACAATTGCCATGAATTATGACGTCACAAAGAAAGATGACAATTGCCAAGAATTATGACGTCACAACAAAAGATGACACCGCAAAACTTTGTTTCGTGACTTAGTGATTAAAATGTTGACTACTGAAATCATACCTGGGAAGTTTTTACCTGGTGGGTTATATAATTACCAAAAGTGTCTGTCAACTCCAGGGATCCTCAATCTGATTAAAACCATATCTTGATCTAAGCTCCGTTCCCTTCTGTACACTCTGTACAGTCCGCTATGTCAGGCATAGCAGAAAGCTGAGTGTACGGAGGGAACGGAGCATAGATCAAGATATGGTTTTAATCAGATTGAGGATTTAATCCTAGCAGGTTTATCCAATGAGTCTGAAGTGAGTAAATTAAACCTATAGTGGTTGTGTGAGAAACAGTATTTATTGTAAAGGTCGGCATATAAATATGTAATTGCTGACGTTTACATGAGTAACTATGTAGACGTTGTGAACATTTACAACTTGAAATGTTATGCAGGTATTTTTTCCCTTCAGATTCAGGTCACGACGATGACCATGTGACAGGGTTAGATGACGTTCTCATGACATCACATATGGCGGAGTATGGATGGGGACTCTCCGAGGAGCTCGTGAGAAAGGCCCGCACTGAACTCAACGAGGACCCGGAGAAATTTGCCGAGTTCATCACAGCAGTCACTGACCAAATGGTCACCAGACCAGACATCAGTAAGTGTAGATCTAAACTTTACAGACATCAGTAAGTGTAGATCTAAACTTTACAAACCTCAGTAAGTGTAGATCTAAACTTTACAAATTAATAAAACATCAGTAAGTGAAGATCTAAACTTTACAGACATCAGTGAGTGTAGATCTAAACTTTACAGACATCAGTAAGTGTAGATCTAAACTTTACAGACATCGTTAAGTGTAGATATAAACTTTACAGACATCAGTAAGTGTAGATCTAAACTTTACAGACATCAGTAAGTGTAGATCTAAACTTTACAAACATCAATTATCGTATTTGCATTAATTAGCGGCCAGGGTACATGAAAAATTGGCTGAAGGGGATACTTATTACAATAACAAAATATGGATTGTGGCAGTTGCTGAATGGGCGATTTAATTGTCACAGGGAGAGTTCCAAAATTGTTCAGTGTTTTTGTTTACATATCGCAAGACTGTAGTGTCGGATAAAGAATGAAAACAGTAATACATCTTGTTAATTGGAGAGGGCAAGAATGGAGGATGTGTTTGGGAAAGGGGGAGATCTAGACTACATCGTTCAATAAATGTTGAAAAAAGGGGGAGAGGTACTCATAATCAGAGGAGGGGTGCTATAATTATGGGGAATATGGTAAATAAAGTTGGAGATTTGCGAGATCAAGTAACCCACAATTCTAACGTCTTTTAGTTTAGTCACATGTTTCAACTGACAACAAATTATTGATTCATTTTTAAGTTTGATTAGTCTCCATATTTGATATTGGACTGATTCTGAGAAATCCCATACAGAGGGCTTGAGGTATAGGGAGCTCAGACACTAAACAACAGGCTCATGGTTTATTATACAACAGGTGTAGGGGCTCATGGTTTATCATACAACAGGTGTAGGGGGCTCATGTTTCATTATACAACAGGTGTAGGGGGCTCATGTTTCATTATACAAAAGGGGTAGGGGGCTCATGTTTTATCATACAACATGTGTAGGGGGCTCATGTTTTATTATACAACAGGGGTAGGGGGCTCATGTTTTATCATGCAACAGGTGTAGGGGGCTCGTGTTTTATTATAAAATAGGTGTAGGGGGCTCGTGTTTTATTATACAACAGGTGTAGGGGGCTCATGTTTTATCATACAACATGGGTAGGGGGCTCATGTTTTATTATACAACAGGTGTAAGAGGGCTCATGTTTTATTATACAACAGGTGTAGGGGGCTCATGTTTCATTATACAAAAGGTGGAGGGGGCTCATGTTTTATCATACAACAGGTGTAGGGGGCTCATGTTTTATCATGCAACAGGTGTAGGGGGCTCATGTTTTATCATACAACAGGTGTAAGAGGGCTCATGTTTTATTATACCACAGGTGTAGGGGGCTCATGTTTTATCATGCAACAGGTGTAGGGGGCTCATGTTTTATTATAAAATAGGTGTAGGGGGCTCGTGTTTTATTATACAACAGGTGTAGGGGGCTCATGTTTTATTATACAACAGGTGTAGGGCTCATGTTTCATTATACAACAGGTGTAGGGGGTTCATGTTTTATTATACCACAGGTGTAGGGGGCTCATGTTTTATTATACAACAGGTGTAGGGCTCATGTTTCATTATACAACAGGTGTAGGGGGCTCATGTTTTATTATACCACAGGTGTAGGGGGCTCATGTTTTATTATACAACAGGTGTAGGGGGCTCATGTTTTATTATACAACAGGTGTAGGGGGCTCATGTTTTATTATACAACAGGTGTAGGGGGCTTATGTTTGATTATACAACAGGTGTAGTGGGCTCATGTTTCATTATACAACAGGTGTAGGGGGCTCATGTTTTATTTTACAACAAGTGTAGGGGGCTCATGTTTTATTATACAACAGGTGGAGGGGGCTCATGTTTTATTATACAACAGGGGTAGGGGGCTCATGTTTTATTATACCACAGGTGTAGGGGGCTCATGTTTTATTTTACAACAGGTGTAGGGGGCTTATGTTTTATCATACAACAGTTGTAGGGGCTCATGTTTTATCATACAACAGGTGTAGGGGCTCATGTTTTATCATACAACAGGTGTAGGGGGCTCATGTTTTATTTTACAACAGGTGTAGGGGGCTCATGTTTTATTATACCACAGCTGGTGCACCTTAAGTAGCTCAGAGTTTACAATACATGATCCCTTAGAGGTGATCATAGTTTATAATAATGTTAAATCTGACAAAATGTAAGTAAATTATATACAAAAAGAACTGTACATGTTATTACCAAGGTAACTAAAAAAGATGTTACATTTGGCAGAAATGTTTTCACTGTATTAGATCCTCATAGGTTACCTATAGTAACAGTGGACAATTATAACCCCACTGTTACTATCTACCTGAAGATCAAATACAGTGAAAACATTTGTACAAAATATAACGTTTTCTTTTATCAATAAGACATTTTATATGTATACGTAATTAAAGGCTTAAAACGGTATTGTTCATACAACCACCAATTCATTTGTGCAAGTCCCTGATTATTTTCAGTGCAGTTCCTCGAGAACTGGTATAGTTATTTATCATCAGACTTGTAACTATGTATTTCTAAACATTTTCTTCAGGTTGGTAAGTATTGATTGTGAGAAGTTCTTTTTACAAACCCATACAATTTTCTATGTGACATTTCCATGACTAGTACGATACGTACACTGTCACCTTCATCAGACAAATGACCAATGAAGCGTATACACACAAAGGTGTAAAATTGTAACTATGTAGTTATAATTGTTTATCAGACTTGTAACTATGTAGTTATAATTGTTTATCAGACTTGTAACTATGTAGTTATAATTGTTAATCAGACTTGTAACTATGCAGTTATAATTGTTTATCAGACTTGTAACTATGTAGTTATAATTGTTTATCAGACTTATAACTATGTAGTTATAATTGTTTATCAGACTTTTAACTATGTAGTTATAATTGTTTATCAAGCATAGAGTTCCCCTGATTTATTTAGGGAAGGCACACATGTATGCATGTCGGTGACTAGGGTCATTTACATGTGTTGTACAGTGAAAGATTTTCATGATATAATGTGTAATATTTAATTTTCTTACTTTCAGCTTTTCTGAGAACAGATGAAGCATTTGTCACTAGATTCCTTCGAGCTCGGAAATATGACACATTTGAGGCATTCAAGCTATTTGCGCGTTATTTTGAATTTCGACAAGACAACACAAACCTTTTCAAGAAGTTTCAAGCATCAGAGCCTGGAATTAAGGATGCCTTGTATGATGGTCTGCCCGGAGTCTTGCCAAATCTTGACCACTTTGGACGCAAAATTATCGTTTTGTACTCTGCTAACTGGGACAATAATCGGTATGGTTTAGCATCTATATATCGCGCAATATTACTGACTCTGGAAAAGTTGATAGATAACGACGAGGCCCAGATCAATGGCTTTGTGGTAATTGTGGACTGGAGTCAATTTACATTCAAACAGTCGACATGGCTCAGCCCAAAGGTTCTTAAGTTGATGATCGAAGGATTACAGGTAATTTGCTGAAATCTATAGTGTAACCAACCATGTTATAATCTGGCAGTAATACATTTTGTAGACTATTATGAAAACAAAACTATCAAGTAATATCTATTTTTGAGTTATTCAGATCATTCTGCCAAATTCAATCCTAAACATTTATATGTTTTATATTTATTAATATAAAAAATTAAACATTATCTAACTGGAAATATTTTAGTTTGCCATGAATCTGAGAGTAAACCAATTTAGCGACTTGATTGAATGGCAATCAACTGCTAAATTTGGTAGTTTCCAAAACGTTTGATACGTGTACTTAAATACATGTATTGACCACACTATATGTATGCTAGTACCACAGGGTAATATAAAGGAGATGTATCTTTTAAATTTTCAAGAATGTTGTATTTCTGAGCCAATTTGTCACACTTGTCTTGCATAAAATGGCCCCATGATTGGTCTCATGTCCCACTTGATACAGAGTTATGGTCCTTCTTTTACCGTATGTACAGTATAACTTTGTCTGGGGGCAAATTTCGTATTAAAAAAAAATGCATATACTAGTACTGTCACAGGTCTGTATAATTGCCAAATTTTTAATGTGAGTATCTTTTAGGATGGCAGAGTGTCACATAAGGAAGTCGGGTGACATGCCCGTCTTTATACTGGTTTAATGGCACATTGTTTATTTTTGATGCCAAAGCCAGTCTAGATCTGCTGGTGGGGGACTTGATAATGCTGGTGGGGGACTTAGTAATGCTGGTGGGGGACTTAGTAATGCTGGTGAGAGACTTAGTAATGCTGATGGGGGACTTTGGGTTGCTCCCAATACTTTTCACAGATACACAAATGTTCCAATTCTTTTAATTTGATTTTGTAATCAATGAGATTATGTACAGTGCATAATGCTATTTAACACATTGAATTTACCATTTGTAGTACTAGTCATGACTGTGGCTAGGAGTGATAAACTTAAAATTGTATACCAGTCAGCAGGATATAGCATGAAACACATTGGAATTTTACTTTTGTAGGACTGTTTTCCTGCACGATTTGGAGCGATACACTTTGTCAATCAGCCGTGGTACATTGAGGCAATGTTCAAGATGCTCAAACCTTTCCTGAAGGAGAAAAGCAAAGACAAGGTACTGAATAAGTTTATTTGAAGTTAATTCGGAAATGACAATTGTCTACCTTATATATATATAAATAATACAAACATTTAGAAATGGAGACGAAAGATGAGTTATTCTTTGAAAGACTAACCTTAAGGACCTTATTTGGCAGGAAGTAGGGGTTTATATCTAAAACATTACACTTTAAAAAGATATAATTTGGCATCGAGTATCCCTAGCCAGGCTAGTGAGGAGTAGAGGGGGAATTCAATGTTTTATAATTGAAAAGTATGATTACTCAAGGGGTGGAAAAGTAGGACTCTAAGGGGAAAACCAGGGTTTTAATATGTTTAAAAAACTACTCCTCAAGTGTTTGTGAAAGGATTTTAATTGGCATGAACTAGAGGTATCATTGGACCAAAGGAAAGGAACATGTGTTTTACTATATTACATACCAAAAGAAGCTTGTGGGTTCATTTTTTCCAATCTTGGTAATTTTATGAGAGTAAAGTGGGAATATTTTGGTACAGGGATGCTACATAACAGATACCTGTTTCAACTTGTTGTGTTCTGTCTACGTCCTCATTAAATATACATTTTAGTCAGGTTGATGAAACCTCACACTGACCTCTGCAGAGGATAATAACTGTATATTATCAATCTTGATATAATGTGCTGTTTGCAGATCCATATGCATGGTATAAACCTGGGAACACTTCACGTTCATATCCACAAGGAGGTCCTGCCTGCAGAGCTTGGAGGCACACTTCCCCCGTACAACAACCTGCTCTGGGCCAAAGAGCTGATCGGCGACGAAAGCTTTAGCTTTGGTGATAAACAGATTTACTGGCCAGGCCATGGTTCAAAGTAGGTTGTAGTCCTATATGTATCAGGCGTTACTGAATTGGCTAGCTAGAGGTGTACAATGTATCTGTATCTGTGTAATAATGGCTCTGAGGTACATTTAACTCTTTCTCCCCTGAATTCTTCCAATTCAAAGGCTGGAACAGTTCATCATGAAATTTCAAGGGTGAATGAGTTAAACAATATGGACATGCTGATAACAAGGAACGTTTTACAATAGTTACAAAGTGTAGCAGATCTGTTACTGTATTCTACCCTAGAAAAACTTTGGATGTTTTAATAGTTATGAAAATCATGTACATATACAAAAAAAATGAAATCAGGGATGGAGCACCTATTGGATCAATTTATGTTTGATCTCTGTCACTGGTACATAACTAACTCATTTGGTTGAAAGTCTGCCTGTAGTTTGGATGTTCAAGTTTCATTTCTTTGTTTTCCCGGTAATGCGGTAGGATGCTTTGAATTTTTGTTTTCCTTTGCAAAATGGTGCTGTGACTAAAATGGGGAATTGCATTTTTTTGTCTTTTTTTGCTAATTGCAGATCCAACGCAAAAAACATTCAACAACCATAATACTAATTTTTCTTATTTTAGAATCTTTGTTGTATTAAAAGATATATTTTAATTGTTTAGTTGTGGAAAATGATGCTAAGTTCCATTTTTTTGAGTTTACATATGTATATTGTCATTGCTGAGGATGTCAATATTTTTCAGGTCTCGAGCCGTGCGGTCTGAATCCTTCCCTATTGACCACTTCTCCAGCCATGCTGACCATGGGTCAGGAGATGATACAGGCACACACCTGGATGAAGAGTTCTTCCTTATAGAATAGTCAACAATGTGTAAGGCCAAACAAATTACACAAGCGTTTCCTGCTAGCCCGGTCATCGTATTTAACCCTTTCACCCCTTTGTAACTTTAGTAGACTCTACCATGCATTGATATGGATGAGTCCATTATGGTCTACAGTGGTGAAAGGGTTAAACAAATTGCAATGCTACAACATAATGTACATGTATAGCAGGTGCTAATTTTTGCTTATTATGAGGAAACGGTACTACTGAAAATCTCAAAAATTAATTCCTGATTTTGTTTCACTCTTTCTCCATTATTTGAATCCAGACTTCAATTACTATAGTATATCTTTACATAAGAACTGCCATTTCGTTATAGTCACTCATGCAAGTGGCTGACAATCTGTTAATTTGGCTAAGATATTTAAAAAGACTTAAGGCAACATGATGATGTAATATATTTAGGACAATATTCTGCTTTGAAAGGAGCTACTTGGATGGGAAACATTGAGAATTTTAAACAGAAATATAAGAAGCTGTCTCAGAATGTTAAGGCCGGCCCTGGGTCACCTGTTGGTCACACAGCTTTTTTTTTTGAAAGATCCTCAAAAATAAAAAAAATCTTTAAAAATTAAAATCCCAAACAATGCAGCCTAGCATTTTTGGTCAAAGCTGCAAAATTTTACACCTGCAAAAATTACCTGCAATACAAGAGGTTTTTTTTCTGGACTGTATTGTCGCCCCCTTTTACAATTGTCCTTATTTCTGGTCTTTCTGAAGGTCTGTTTTGGGCAAAACTAAGATGTTATCAAAGAATAAACAAATTAAAAGGAAACAGGAAGGTCATATTTCAGCAATATTAATTGAAGGTAAAACCTAGAGTGTTTCCAAAGTTGCCCAACCATTGTGAAAAGTGGTGGTCAAACCAGTGCTATTATGCAAGTGTTTTCTGCTTTTATGTTCCCTTCATATTTAGGTGTTGTACAGTAAGTTGCTGAAGTAGACATAATTGAAGAGTTTGCATGATTTGTGATTATGTCCTCGAATAACTATAAAACAGAAAAAATAGGATCTACAACGCTATTTAGCTTCCTACAAAGTTGCCACTGGATGTAACTGGAAAGGATTTATGTGTCTAATGCATTGTTTTGAGAAGTGACATACATGTTCTTGTCTTAATATATTCCAAATGAAAGGATTTTACTGAAACCTTTGTGCATCGAAGTGCTTCCCTGTAAATCAGTAATGATATTTACCTCTCTTGAAAGGGAGATAGAAAAATATTCCTCATTTATTTTATTAGCATATTTTTTTTGCAGAATTTACATTAGAATTCTGATACTGTTTTAAGACACTATTCATTGTGTATTGAAGTAAGTAAGGTGGTTATTTGATATTGTTAACTTCGAGAATGATATAAACAGTGGAGTTAATATGTATGAGGCATTTTCAAACTTTCTAGCCTGTGTTTGATATATAAAGAGTGGTCTCCCTTCTTACATAACCTACTATCAAATCCATCTAACTAATTATATATATATTAATATAAGATATCACAACTGGAGTGTGTGTAGACCCAATGTCTCTGCAAGGAATTTAGTTCCATAGTGGCGGTAGGGATCCTGGGGTGGATACCTTAATGGTACTCAACAGCGCTCATCAGGGAAAGCAGAGCAAATGAAAGTAGAAATGATGAGCAACAACACCATTGATTCCGGTACAAAATGTAATGTTTGATTAACATTCTACGTGCTTATATGAGATATATACATAGCATTGCTCAATCAAAATGTTGAAGTGAAATGACCCTCAATTAGAGTGTTTGTCATGAAAAACTCGATAACTTGGGTTTTAACAAATCATGTTGATCTATCCACAAGACTATGTTATCCTATGAGACTGATGACCAGCAGGTGGTGTTAAGGAAGCAAAAATAGGTCTCAGAATTCATGGTGAAACGAAAAAATAAATGGTCAGAAGTATATTGATTTTAAATCTGATCCTAAAAAAGCTTTAAAATATCCTAAAATTATGTTGTGTACACCTGGTGACCTGTATGGACCTGTATAAATTGTAAGTGGAATTGGAACAAAACTTCTTTATTTTTTCCATTAATGTTTTTATCATTATTTGACTTACTTATACGTCAGACTTATACAGTTTCCAAACTTATACATAATAATATAATTCACTTTAAACATATACTTAGCTAACTCCTACTTTTGTGTACATGTGACAATGTTTTAGGGGCACAGCTTGAGTTTGTGTTATGCTATAGCTATTATATAATGCACCGACACAGCTGTGACGGGGAATGGTAATTTAGCGTAAATTTAAATTGGCAAACTATGATGACCGCTAAAAAACTACATCTCTTTCTAGTCCCATATTTCCATACACGAAAACTTGTTCTCTTCTAGTCCCATATTTCCATACACGAAATCTTGTTCTCTTCTAGTCCCATATTTCCATACACGAAAACTATAAACCTGTATGAATATTCTAATTAATGTCCCTTTACTCTTTGCAGTATTTTTATACTTGATTTATTGTTTAGTTGATTTATTGTTTAGTACTATTATATAGTTTTTACATGCATGGGTGTTTTTTTAGTGATATATTGTGATATTGTTATGATGTGAATTGAAAATATGTTACGAAACCAAAAGAAGTGTATTGATTTTTATACATATCGCTGCAATCAAGTTTTCTCTGGAAGACAAGAATCAGGCTTAAGATGGTAGGTTTAGTGGATGATTGACAGTTTAATGTGAGATTTTAGTCAAATGTGAAATGCTAGTCTAGAACATGGGACACGATTTAGTAGCCAGTTAAGTTAAGGTAAGTTGACTTAAGTCAAATAAGAGATTATTGTCTTATGTAACGAAATTATACAAAGTTGAATGTGAGAAACTAGTTAATTGATCGTAAGTTACTAGTCCAATGTGAGAACCTGTTAATTGATCGAAGTTACTAGTCCAATGTGAGATACTAGTCAATTGATCGTAAGTTACTAGTCCAATGTGAGAAACTAGTCAATTGATCGTAAGTTACTAGTCCAATGTGAGATACTTGTCAATTGATCGTAAGTTACCAGTCCAATGTGAGAAACTAGTTAATTGATCGTAAGTTACTAGTCCAATGTGAGATACTTGTCAATTAATCGTAAGTAACTAGTCCAATGTGAGATACTAGTAAGTCTGATGAGAGCTACTGATTGGGTAAACATGAGGTACACTGTACACCGAGTTAGATGTGAGTCACCAGAGCTTGTACTGAGTTGGATGTGAGGCACCAGATATTGTACTGAATTTGATGTGAGTCACCAGAAATTGTACTGAGTTCGATATGAGTCACCAGAGATTGCACTTTGTTAGATGTGAGTCACCAGAGATTGTACTGAGTTAGATGTGAGGCACCAGAGATTGTACTGAGTTCAATGTGAGTCACCAGAGATTGCACTTTGTTAGATGTGAGTCACCAGAGATTGTACTGAGTTGGATGTGAGGCACCAGATATTGTACTGAATTTGATGTGAGTCACCAGAAATTGTACTGAGTTCGATATGAGTCACCAGAGATTGTACTAAGTTAGATGTGAGGCACCAGAGCTTGTACTGAGTTGGATGTGAGGCACCAGATATTGTACTGAATTTGATGTGAGTCACCAGAAATTGTACTGAGTTTGATATGAGTCACCAGAGATTGCACTGAGTTCAATGTGAGTCACCAGAGATTGCACTGAGTTAAATGTGAGTTCCCAAAGATTGTACTAAGTTAGATGTGAGTCGCCAGATATTGTACTGAATTTGATGCGAGTCACCAGAGAGTGAACTGAGTTAGATGTTAGTCACCGGAGATTGTACTGAGTTAGATGTGAGTCACCAGATATTGTACTGAATTTTATGTGAGTCACCAGAGAGTGAACTGAGTTCGATGTGAGTCACCAGAGATTGTACTGAGTTAGATGTGAGTTACCAGAGATTGTACTGAGTTAGATGTGAGTTACCAGAGATTGTACTGAGTTAGATGTGAGTCACCAGAGATTGTACTGAGTTAGATGTGAGTCCCCAGAGATTGTACTAAGTTAGATGTGAGTCGCCAGAGATTGTACTAAGTTAGATGTGAGTCACCAGATATTGTACTGAATTTTATGTGAGTCACCAGAGATTGTACTGAGTTAGATGTGAGTCACCAGAGATTGTACTAAGTTAGATGTGAGTCACCAGAGATTGTACTAAGTTAGATGTGAGTCACCAGAGATTGTACTGCGTTAGATGTGAGTCATCAGAGATTGTACTGAGTTAGATGTGAGCCACCAGAGATTGTACTGAGTTAGATGTGAGTCGCCAGAGATTGTACTAAGTTAGATGTGAGTCACCAGATATTGTACTGAATTTTATGTGAGTCACCAGAGATTGTACTGAGTTAGATGTGAGTCACCAGAGATTGTACTGAGTTAGATGTGAGTCAACAGAGATTGTAAAGAGATAGATGTGAGGCACCGATATTGTTAGATGCGAGTCATAGGAAGTTCTGCTTAGTTATATTAGTCGCCAGAAATTGCACTCTGTAAGATAGTAGTCATAAGAGATTCCATTGAGATAAATATGAGTCATTGGAGATTCTACTAAATTTTATATGTGTCACCAGGGATTGTACGGAGTTAGGTGTGATACATAAACTATTGAACGAGTTAAATTTTAGTCATTATAAGATTGAAGAGGTGTTCTGTTTTGCATTTTTCATTTTTTTTAATCAATATTTATTAATTTGTTGACATTTGTTAGTTTCATCTTCTTAACGTCACTCATCTGTATCTACTATGACGTCAGAATTACAACAGTCAGTCTGGCCTGATAGAATGTCATTGTGTATTTAAATTTTAGTACAAAGACCATAAGAAACAGAAGTTTTGAAATTGTCATTAATTTGGACCCTATTGTTTTATATTTAGATTAAATCTTAAAGCAAATTAATGCATACTAGTTTTGAGAAAATTACGTTTTTATACAATGAAAAATATGTCCACATCATTTATGTTGTTTTAAAATTAAATTCAATCTAAAATCAAATACAGATAAAATTATATCAATTTTCATTATCTGATAGAAATTTTTATCGGTTTTCAGAATTATTCTATTGTAAAACCGAAATACTCTTTTGG